AGGTGCTGGTGGCTAGAATGCCCCAATCAGGGTTTGGACCAAATTCCACAGTAACAGGGAGTCAATGAAGGTTTGACATGGTATCTAAACTTTCTGAATTTTGCAATGATGTGTGTGATAGCTGTCTAATTTACCTGAAAACAAAAGGCGAACGAGGCAAAAGCCTGGAGACAGAGTGGTTCATGGGAGGCCTATTGACTAATTGAGCAAGAGCAACAGAAGGAATGAAAAAAAAACCAGGGGATGGACAGAAGCGTGAGGTGGGCAGTGGTGGGAATGCCAGTGCTGGACTTAGCCCGCTGGCCACACAGAGAGGAGGAGTCAGACGGGCATGGAGGGCCAGGTTTCCAGTCGGTGGCTATCCTAGATGGAGGTAGAAAAAAAGCAGGCTTGATCTGAATATGTTCAGGTCTCTAAGTGATTTCCTTAGGTTCTGGTTTTGGTCTTACCAACCCTCTGACCCTCTCTGCCCACTTGGATAATCAACTCTGTTTTTTTTTTTTCTTTTGCCAGTCCTGGGGCTTGAACTCAGACCCTGGGCACTGTCCCTGAGCTTCTTTTGCTCAAGGCTTGCACTCTACTACTTGAGCCACAGCACTACTTCTGGCCTTTTCTGTGGATGTGGTGAGAAATAGAACCCAGGGCTTCATGCATGCTAGGCAAGCATTCTACCACTAAGCCACATTCCCAGCCCCACTAATCAACCCTTGCTTGCACCATTTTCTCTTGCTGTTGCCAAGGGAGCTGGGAGGTCCACTGAGTGCAGTGACAGCCCCTGCCTCTTAAATGGCAATGCTGGCTACTTTCAAAGGAATGGGGTTCTAAGTTTTTTTGGTCCTCCTTTCGCTGCATCCTCATGGCAACAGGGAACACACAGATCACTCCTGCCCACAGCTCTGAGTTAAGATTCACAGAGCTGCCAGGTGGGAAGTATTTGAAGAGAGCCTTTATGTGTGTGTTCTCTTTCTTGGCCTAGTACAGCTAGTTAAACGCAGGAAATAAGATCATATTATTCAAGTACTCATGGATGAAATTCCATTAGATATCTATGGTCTTCATATGCATAAAACCACAGCATCACCAGCATTGAAAGGTATTTATGGAAACATGCTTAGTGTTGTCTGCAGTGCTGCAGTGCTTGTGACAGTACGTATGAAACACTACACTGCCACAGGGCAGATGCAGAGTTCCACACAGGTGCGATTCTTGGTTCCCATGTTTCTGTTGTCAAGACTGAGTGAAGAGTGACACTCTGTTAGGTAAAAGCACAATAAAGAGATGCCTCTTCTCACTAATGATAGCCACTTAAAACTCTGCTCTCATTACAAGCTGAATGCAGGCTAGCTACTCAAAGGGAAAGGAATCATAGGTTAATGGGCATTTAATAGTGGGAATTTTGCCTGTATCGGTGAGAACAAACCTCTGTGTACTGGAAGCACTTCTTACAGAATGTGAGATTTTGACCTCTGTGTTTTTCCCTCACATGATCAAACAGGCACACTCGGTTCTGATACATAAATTCCACAATCTAAGGAGAAAGACATAGGAGAATCTGGAATCTTATCATGTCCTTAGTGAGTCTTCATGCTTGATCCTCACAAAACAGCTGATAAAACCAAATTCCAGCCTGATACTGGCAGCCATAATTTTCAGAGGTCACAAGACTCACCTCTAACCTGACAGGGTTATCGGTAATAATCTGAATTAACCCAGCCCTGTTGGCTGTTTTGGAGCCTAGGTTGAACTGTATCCCCTCAAAGACATGTTAGTGTTAACCTTTGGTATTTGTAAAGATGATCTTCTCTGGAAACAGGATACTTACAAAGGTAAAAAGTCAAGATAAAGTCATTATCATGGCCTTAATTCAATAAGACTTATATCTTTATTTATCTCATTATTTATTTGTTTAGTCCATTGTGGGATTTGAACTCAGGGCTTGGGTGCTGTCCCTGAGCTTTTCTGTTCAGAGCTGGTGCTCTATCACTTTGAGCCATAGCTCCACTTCTGGTTTTCTGGTAGTTAATTGGAGATAAGCGTCTCATGGACTTTCCTGCCCAGGCTCGTTTTGAACTGCAATCTTCACATCTCAGCCTTATGAGTAGCTAGGGTTACAAGTGTGAGCCACCCGTGCTTGGCTATGACTGATGTCTTTTTTTTTTTTTTTATTGTGAAAATACTGTACAGAGGGTTATAATTACATGGGCAAGATACTGAGCACATTTCTGTTTTTTTTTTTTTTTTTTTTGGGTCCGGTTGTAGGGCCTGAACTCTGGGCCTGGGTGCTGTCCCTCAGCTCTTCAGCTCAAGGCTAGCGCTCTACCACTTGAGCCACAGCGCCACTTCCGGCTTTTTTCTTTTTGCTTCTGTGGTGCTGAGGAATCGAACCCAGGGCCTCAGGCATGCAAGGCAAGCGCTCTACCACTGAGCCACTTCCCAGGCCCATGAGCACATTTCTTATCAAGCATTGTAGCCTCCTCCTTTGTTTCCCCTTCCCATCCCTTCCCCCCGTCCCCCCACCCAAGTTGTGAAGTTCGTTTTTCGACATAATGACTTGTATATCTCATTGTTGCAATGGGTCCTCCAGTTTTATAAGGAGAGAGCATCACTTCTCTGAACATTTAAAGTACTATTTATTGAAATGAACTCCAGGAAATGGAAACATGTTGTTGTTGTTATTGGTATTATTGGTTTGTTTTTGTTTTTGTTTTCCCTTTGGGGGTAAAGGGAGGCCACAGAAAGGGAAAGAGGAAGGGTGAACAAATGTGCTATTCAGTATACACTATGTGGAAAATGAACTATGTAACTTGTGGGCAGGGATGGGAGGAGGAAACTGGGGGAAAGTAAAGGAAGGAGTGACGTTGTCCAAAAAATATATTCACACTGGACTTATGAAATGACAGCCCCTCTGTACAACATCTTATTAGTAACAGTACAATTATTAAAGAAAAAAAGGACCAGGCCCAGAGTTCAAGCCCCACGACCGACTGCCTCCCTCCCCCCCAGAAAAGGAGAGAACACCACGTAAAAATGCAGACACACAAGGAGAAGCCGTGTGGCAGCCCCGGTGGAGACTGGAGTGATGTATGTATGAGCCAAGGAAGATGAAGACTGCCAGCCATACCAGAACGTGGAGGAAAGCATGGACAGAGTCTCCCCCGAAGTCTTCAGAGACTGACAACACCTTGATTGTGGCCTTCTAGCTTCTAGAATGATCAGAGCTTAAAAGTGCTATGCTGTACACAAAAATACCCTTGATACCTCCATTGCCAGTGGTATCTGAAAAAAAAAACCACTGAAGTCAGGGAATCTCTGATCTCCTACCAGCTGCTGATTATGGTGACTGTTTCCATTAATTCTATGCAGAGGGGACACTCTAAAAGGAATAGCATTTCTTACTAGCCACTCCAAAATTTATAAAAAGGCTTCTTTCCTGATAGACTGGAAAATATTTGAGCTCTGGGTTCTCCTAGTAATGGTATGCATTTTCCCAGCCCAGAAATTCTCCATTGTCCTCTTTTCTCCCTCACCTAGGTACTCCCTACCCACACTCTGTTTCAGCTTAGACTCCATGGCTTTGGGAGGTCTTACTAATCCTCAAGTCAGGACTAGGGGCACTTAATGGGTACCCTGAACTTGCTCCCTGTAGTATGTACCACTCTGTATTAAAACCATTTGTTATCGGTACACCTTCTCACTGGAACTCTTAGGGGCAGATCTTGTGAACATCAGGCAGTTTACCTCTACCTCTGCATGATCAGTAAAACTCAACTCACAGACACTTGACAAATACGTATTAAGAAAATGAAAATAGGGCTAGATGTGTGGGCTCAGGTGCTAGAGTGTCAGCTTAAGAACCTTGAGGTGGGGCTGGGAAGGTGGCTCAGTGGTAGAGCACTTGCCTTGCATGCATGAGGCCCTGGGTTCGATTCCTCAGCACCACATAAGCAAAAAGAAAAAAACCGGAAGTGGCACTGTGGCTCAAGTGGTAGAGCGCTAGCCTTGAGCTGAAGAGCTGAGGGACAGCACCCAGGCCCAGAGTTCAGGCCCCACGACCGGACTCAAAAAAAAAAAAAAATGAAAAATAAGCTTGAGGTACTGAGCTCAAAACCTACCACTGCACCTCCCAAAGGAATATTGAACTAAAATATTTTTGTACAGTTATTTAAAGATAATAAAAATAAGTGACAAAAACTTTAAAAAAGAAAACAAAAGACATGGTAATGCCAACAATCTATAATTTAGCATTTATGATATTTCGACCAGGGTTGAAAAAAAAAAGCTGGGAAAGGTGTTGGTAAAATGCAGAGTAGGTTGGTGCTTCCTATCTGTGTGCCAAATACTCTGTCAGGCACTGATTGATCAGTAGCAAAGCGGACTTAAGATCCATTCTAGCAGAGTCTGTAGTGTATGACATGGCCTATAAATACACAGATAAATAAGTACCTGAGGTAAAATCGTTGCCCCAAGTGTTAGAGACAAAACCAAGAGATTGTTGAGCTATTCTTTTTTTTTTGGGTCAGTGTGAGGCTTGAATTCTGGGCCTGGGTGCTGTCCCAATGGTTTATTGGAGATAAGAGTCTCACGCACTTTCCTGCCCGGGCTGGCTTTGAACCGTGATCCTCAGATCTCAGCCTCCTGAGTATGTTGAGCTATTCTGAAGTGCAGCCTGGGGACGTAGTGTGATCTTGGAGGACTTCCCACAGAAGATGACACTTGAGCAGAGACAGACAAGATGAGAAAGGAACAAGGTATGGGAAATGGGGTCACATTTACTGTAAGCCATTTAAATAGCAACCCTAATCTTTCCAGGCTCCAGGTTGGATAGGTGCGCTAAGACGCCTCACTGCCAGCACTAAAGATGGCGGACGAAGGGGGCGGAACAGGGCTTCTTCTGATTGGCTGCTCCTGGAGCGACGTCATGCCTCGGCGGCGGCGCATCCGGGCTCCCGCCGGCGGCGTCGCGGGAGGCTGGCCGGGGAAGCGGCGCGCCGAGCCGGCGTGCGGCTGAGGGGGACGGTTGCGGAGCGCCCTCGGCGGCCGGCGGGGCCGAGCGCCGCGTCCCGAGGATGGCGGGCTCCCTGCCTCCCTGCGTGGTGGACTGTGGCACCGGGTAAGAGCCCGTGAGCGCCGGCTCCCCTCGGCCGCGGCCCCGCTCGCGCCCCAGCACCCCGCCGCCCGGGGCTCAGGCCTCCGCACCCCGGAGCGGCTCCCCGCCCGCCCGCCCGCCCCTGCCGTCCACGCCGCGCCCGGCAGTGTGCGGCCTCGGGGGCCGGGCCGGGCGAGCGCCCGAGCGTGCCCGCTCCCCGCGCCGCCTGGGCGCCGCCTCGCCACGGCCTGGGGGCCGCGGCCCCTCTCGCGGCTGGGACGGCTCTGCGGACGCGTGTGCCGCCCGGCGCCCGCGGGGTCGCCGGCCCCGCTCCCCTGCGGCGATGCTCACCCCGACCCTTTGCTTCCCCCCCTTCCCTCCTCCCGGGTGAAAGGGCGCGCTCGGGTCGAGGCCCGGCATTCGCACGGACTCCCCTTCCCCTTCCACAAGATGTGTTTTAAGAGACTCCATTTTGGAGAGAAAGGCAGTCTAAATTTGGCAGAGCCTCCCTCCCTTGGGTGCGATCGCCTTTTCCTTTCCCCTTTTTGTCTTTCCTGTGCTGCTGCGGCATTCCGAAGAGACTTGAAGGGAAAATGCCCCGAGTTGTCAGTGGTCCAAGCTTAGCTGGTTTTAGCCGGGCCATCGCGGAGCTCACCGGAGTGAGAGTTTGGGAATCCAAGCCTGCCTGCATGTGGATGTGGTAGTCAGTAAAATCGCCTCCAAGTGCATGGATCCGCTTAACAGCTGTTTCAAGAAAGGACTTTAATCCTCCGGTGACACAAGGCGTTGTGGCTTTTTTCTTTTTTTAACCTTGTGATTCTCTTCTGTAGAAAGATGCAGTTGGTTTGGTTTCCTTGACAACGTTGTGGGGGTGTCTTCTAAATTGCCACCATCCCCGTGTTACTGTTGTGATAGTTCTTTTATTTTGTTCCTAAGGGACCAGAGGTGGTAGTGAGCTGGAAACAACGGCCTCTTGGCTTGTGCTAGTTTTTCTTTTTGAAATACACATTGCAGGGAAGTTGTGGCATTCTAGAAGTTGCTTTTCAGTTGCCATTACAATCCACCTCCTCCAAGTCTTCTCTGTCTCCTGTTGTCTCACAGTGCACCTCCCTGCTCCCTCAGACCTAGTATGTCAACAATGAAGGCAGCATGAAAACATTGTTCTCATTTCCATATTTACTTGTGAGACTTGTATTTTTGGGATTGTCCAACGTATTGAAATACAAAGCATTTCTTGGTGGTTGTGGTAGAATAATGCTCTCAGAGTGGTCAGACCTTTAAAATTAGTAAGCTGAGAATCTTACTCATCACTTTTTGCTATAAATATCAAAAATGTACTCAGTTTTGACCTTTTGAGGTAAATGATGAATGTAATTGCTCTCTGGGAAATTCGCCTTCAGTGCATCATTGTAGCCAAGGCTGAGTTTCCGAGTCACCGGCTTTGGAAACAGCGAAGGAGGGTTCTCTGTGGATACCGTCTGCACTGGAAGCCCCCTCGGGTCTCCTGAACCCCATGGCCAGAAAGGGTAGCCTGGAAGAGTCTGTGCGTACCCAGCTTGGCATATTGGTACTCCTCATATTTCACACAGTTAAATGGCATTTGGATTGTGTTTTACCTAAAAATAGAACCAAAAATGGTAACTCGAAGATAAAAATACCAGAGCTAAGGAAAAGAATGGATTGCCCTAAACTTGAGACCAGTGGTTGGTTGAGCTTGATCCTCACATTTGGTTTTAGTCTGTCTGACAATATTTTTTTTTTTTTTTTTGTCGGTCTTGGGGCTTGAACTCTGGGCCTGGACGCTATCCCTCAGCTCTTCAGCTCAAGGCGAGCGCTCTACCACTTGAGCTACAGCACCACTTCCGGTTTTCTGGTGGTTTATTGGAGATAGGAGTCTAGTGGACTTTCCTTCCCCAGGCTGGCTTTGAACTGAGATATTCAGATTTCAGTCTCCTGATTAGCCACTGGCTCCCTAGTGTTTTTTTAATAGCAAATAAAATTTTGCCCTGGTAGCCTTGAATCCTCTGATCAACCCTGAGGCCAGGTCTGTGAACACAGTGCGGGGTAGGACAATAGGGACAAAAGGGTCTGTTGATTCTAAAAATAAAGTCTGAGCTATTTAAAGGGATGACTAGGCTGCATAGCTTTCAGAACATATTCTGCAAGTCTGTCTTCCTTCTTGACTAATCTTATTAAGCCTTCTTAAATTTTGAAATTAATTTCAAATTTACTAAAAGTAACACAAATCCAGTACTGTATATACTCTTTTCCAGTTGTCTGTGTTTGTTGTATCATTTTCTGTGTTTATATATGAAGGAAGGTTGCACACATCGTACTCCTTTATACAGAGATACAACTAATAACAAGAACTTTTATAAGCATAGAGCAGTTATTAAAATCAGAAAATTTTGTTTTTGTTTGTCGGTTGTAGGTCTTGAACTCTGGGCTTGGGTGCTGTCCTTACCCTCGTCAGCTCAAGGCAAGCGCTCTACCACTAGAGCCACAGCGCCACTTCCGGTTTTCTGAGTGGTTTACTGGAGAGAAGAGTTTCACAGACTTTCCTGCCCAGGCTGACTTATTTTTTTTTTGTCGGTTGTGAGCCTGAACTCTGGGCCTGGGTACCGTCCCTCAGCTCTTCAGCTCAAGATTAGCCCTCTACCACTTGAACCACACCGCCACTTCTGGCTTTTTCTGCTTATGTGGTGCTGAAGAATCGAACCCAGGGCCTCATGCATGCAAGGCAAGCACTCTACCACTGAGCCACCTTCCCAACTTCCCAGGCTGACTTTGAACTGTGACCTTCAGATCTCAGCCTCCTGAGTAGCTAGGATTACAGGTATGAGCCACTGCTGCCCAGCAGTACTAGGGTTTTAAAGTCGCCACTTGAGCATGTGCACACCCTGAATCCTCCTTTTTTTTTTTTTTTTTTTTTTTTCCCCGGAGCCTGGGTACTGTCCCTTACTTAGTTTTTTCAAGTTGGGCTCTCTACCACTTGAGCTACCCCTACACATTCTGCTTTTTGGTGATTAATTGGAAATAAGAGTCTCACCAGCTTTCCTATTTGGGCTGACTTTGATCTCAGCCTCAGATCTCTGATCCTGGATAGCTAGGATTATAGAGGTGAGCCACCAGTGCCAGAAAATGGTGATTAAAAAAACCTCCAGTGTTTTCTCTACTTATGAACTAGTATTTTATTATGAGGCTCCCATACATTATATAAGACTCCAGTATGGATTAGTGTTTATTCAAAAAATTATCTGTTAAGGCCTTCTCATTATTTTCAGTGAGTTATCTGTGTTTGGTCCCCCCCCCCCCCCCCCCCCCCCTCCAAGAGCTTGAACTCAGGGCCTGGGCACTGTCCTGGAACCTTTCTGTGCTCAAAGCTTGCATTTTACTACTTGAGTCATGGTGCCACACTTTGGGCTTTTTCTGAGTAGTTTATTGGAGATAAGAATCTCATGGAGGGGCTGGGAAGGTGGTTCAGTGGTAGAGCGCTTGCCTTGCATGCCAGAGGCCTTGGGTTCGATTCCTCAGCACCACATAAGCAGAAAGAAAAAAGCCGGAAGTGGTGCTGGGGCTCAAGTGGTAGAGCGCTAGCCTTGAGCTGAAGAGCTGAGGGACAGCACCCAGGCCCAGAGTTCAGGCCCCACGACCAGCCCCCCCCCACCCCCCCAAAAAAAAAAAAGAATCTCATGGACTCTCCTTTCTGTGCTGGCTTTGAACCAGATTCTCAGATCTCAGCCTCCTGAGTAGCTAGGATTACAGGTGTGAACCACGGGCACCTGGTTCTCAGTGTAATTTTAACTTCTTTTTATGTGGGAAGCGAAGCATCCTCTCATATGGTTAAGAGCCATTAACGCTTTTTTCTGGTCTTCATTTCTGTAACTTAACGTGTCTTGGGTTTTTGGTTTCCTGCTTTATTTTTAGAAGCTTCCCATGTACTGGGATGTGTGTTTCGGGGAATGGGTGTCACATAAACCCAAGTCCAGTGACTTGCTAAGAGGATTTAGGAATAGTTACAAAGGAAAAAAAAAAGCCTTGGGAGGGATTGCATGTGTGTCTGTGTGTCTGTGTAGAGTGGAAGAAATCCCTGGTGCAGCACACTGTGTACAGGTCAGTTTTCAGGGGAAGAAACCACACTGCTCTACCCATTCTTCTTTCTTAAAAAACTTATTGGGGGGGCTGGGAAGGTGGCTCAGTGGTAGAGCGCTTGCCTTGCATGCATGAGGCCCTGGGTTCTATTCCTCAGCACCACATAAGCAGAAAAAAAAAAGCCGGAAGTGGCGCTGTGGCTCACGTGGTAGAGCACTAGCCTTGAGCTGAAGAGCTGAAGGACAGCGCCCAGGCCACGAGTTCAGGCCCCATGACTGGACCCCCCCCAAAAAAAAAAAACTTATTGGGGGGCTGGGAAGATGGCTCAGTGGTAGAGCGCTTGCCTTGCATGCATGAGGCCCTGGGTTCAATTCCTTAGCACCACATAAGCAGAAAAAAAAGCCAGAAGTGGCGCTGTGGCTCAAGTGGTAGAGCACTAGCCTTGAGGTAAAGAGCTGAGGGACAGCGCCCAGGCCCAGAGTTCAGGCCCCACGACCGGACCCCCCCCCAAAAAAAAAAAAAAAAAAACAAAACCAAAACTTATTTATTGGATCATGGGGCTTGAACTCTGGGCCTGGGCGCTGTCCCTCAGCATTTCAGCTCAAGGCTAGCACTCTACTCCTTGAGCCACAGCGCCACTTCTGGTTTTCTGGTGGTTAATTGGAGATAGGAGTCTGAAGGACTTTCCTGCCCAGGCTGGCTTTGAACTGCTATCCTCAGATCTCATCCTCCTGAGTAGCTAGGATGCCATTGTGACCCACTGATGCTGGGCTCCTGCATCTGATTTTTTTTTGGTCAGTCATGGGCTTGAATTCTGGGCCCGAGTCCTGTTTCTCAGCTCTTCAGCTCAAGGCTAGCACTCTAACAGTTGAGCGACAGCACCACTTCTGGCTTTTTCTGCTAATGTGGTGCTGAGGAATTGAACACAGGGC